CTACAGCCACTTGAATTTAAAGCTCATATGAATTATGTATTTCTCTGGTATATAAAATGTGCCCTGTTAGGATGTAGTGAAGTATTGACGAGGTGACAAGTCTTCTTACATTCCAGGTCTGAGAGTTTGCAAAATGTAAAGGAAGCCATTAAAAACCAGCAAAAACCAAGTAAAGCTCATACTTTCATGTTTTCCTGGAAGGAATGGAAGTTTATTCCTGAAGACTAAACAGTAAACATTGATCAGCTGCTACCTGCCAAAGCACAGGCTGTACAAGAATCAACATTTTTGCAAATCTACTGTTTCGCAGTAGAAATACATAATTTGATTATGGAGCTTTCACGTGAATAATTAGATAACAATTCCTCAGTCAGTGTTCATTGCCAACTTTCCCATCACCAACAGGGGCTGTAATTTGCTTTAGCAATGCAGAGAGAGGGAGAGACACAGACAGAGTGAGAAAGAAATTGCTACTACTGCCATCACCAAGAACAGTCTTACGAATCCTGTTGAAAGAAATTATTCTGAAAGAAAATCTGTACAGAGACATTTGCTAATTTCATTAGCACAAGGTGACATTTTAAAGAGCCAGGTGCCAGGCTTATAAGCTTAAGAAGTCATTTTAATACCCATTTCTTTTAAGATTCTTCAGTATTTTTTCCTTAAATTAGCACGGACCATATATCTAAAATATGATTAACCAGTTTTTAGCTGTCAGAACTGGAAGCAAAAATATCCTCTGGCAGATACTAAAAACTTCAAAATCTGAACTGCTATTTACTTTAACAGCCCAAAGAACCCATGACCTCGAGGCAATGTTTTCAAGATTCTTTTGACTCCTAGGAGACAGCCAAACATTCAATTTAAAATATGACTATGTGCAAAGAAAGACTATTTCAAATACAGACCAAAGTACAAACGGGAATTTTCCACATGTTCTGCTTCTGCAAATAGCGCTTAAAGGAAACTTTTGAGATGTAAAGGCTAATTTTCATTAGCGTTCTGTGTCCACCTTTATACACTTTATCAGAGTTGGTCTCCTAAAACCAACTATTAGACAAATAAAATCAAAGTTATTCATGAGGACACGAGCAAAAAGAATGCTACTCACTTGCATAAAAGCACTCCCAACATAAAACTTTGTAGTGGTAAGGTCAGCTTAGCCAACACAGGAGAATATACAAACCTGCAAAGATCTACTAGCTTGCATAACATTTAGCTTATAGGTTAAGGATAATTTTTTGCCGTCTCCAAAACAGACATACTTCAAAAGACTATTTGGAAAGAGTTACCACAACTCAGCCACGCACAGAACCTCCACTACTTTGGGGAGGGAGGGAGTGTAAAGCTGATCATGTCATCTTATGATGGTTAAATACCAGACATAGATCAGTAAATTCATATTACTATATGAATAGTATTGTATTATATACAATAACTTTAGTGCTTTTTTTAACAGCATCCTTGTGATTTAGGTTAACTTCTTCATGAAACACTTCAAAAGTGTGTTTAAGTATATATTCTTAACGAGACCTAATGCTTTGGTGAATCCTTTACTATTCTTACAATAACGCCCATATATCTGCTTCTCCTTTGAATCCAATACTAGGAGGACAGTTGAAATCATAGATGTTCCAAGGAAAAAAAAATCCTACAGTCAAATCACATTTGCGGTACAGCCCTACCGCTTTTCCTTGCGTAACTCACAGGCAAATGGAAGTAAATCCAGTAAAGAATACAGGATGCAGCCTTGGTGGGGATAAATCAAGTTTGCCTCTCACCGATGCTATCGGGAGCTATACGCTCATATGGACAGGGAAGAATTTGAATTTAAAGCTTATGTCAAACAGAGAAAAGCAAAACCAGCATCGAAATAAACCTAAGAAATTCACACCCTTCTGCATAAGGATTGTGAAAGGATGAGTACAAGTGATGCAACATGCCTTACAAAACCACCAGTACTGACGCATTTACATTTAGAAATAGGATTATTTTCGTAAATTACAGTATATTCATTTCAGTCAGTGGTCTAATTAAAAAAATTAATAATTTATAGCCTTATACCCAAGTTGTAGGGTCCACTAAGCTAATGTTTCACTGATGAACTCAATGATTTGTATGGAAATTCACACAGGGATTTGGCTTAAAACACCACCTTTGTGCAGTAAGTTAAAGTTTACATCTTTATTGCCAGTCAGAACCAAATAAAAACAAATATACTAACTTTTAGAACAACTTATTTCTGCACTTCATTTCAGTGTTTTTAATCTTTCCTATTTTTGACCTTGTCTATGAATTTTTGAAAATCTTAAAAACTGAATTATTTGGAACTAAGATATCATTCTGCATGAGCATACAACGCCATCATTTAAAAAGAGTGTCTTGGCAATCAAAATAGACTACGTGGCCAACTCCTTTCCATTTCCATCTCCCCTGTCTCCTTCCCCAGAAACTTTTCTGATTCTCTGAGCTCCAGCAGAAGTGGGGCACAGGGAAGGAAGCAAGAAAATGGTGAGGGCTCCTTCAACAGGGCATTAGCGCTGACGTTTCAGTGTCGTGGTAGGTGCGTAGAGGAAAGGAAAAGAAGGTTCCTACTTTTAAGAATTCAAGTCAGACTTTCTACAGACTCCAGAAGTTGCCAGATCACCAGCTACATTTGTTCATACTTGGAAGTTCTACATGTAACCAGAGAGGACCAGATTTTTATTTATTTATTTTTAGCCAAGGACTGAACTCTGCCCAAGAAAAATATAGTCTGTGGACCACATGCAGCTCGCAAAATGGCCTGAATCCCCTAATTAAAAAAGTTACTTTGGAAGATGGTGTGTATATATATATGCATAAATTTTTATATATGCCAGTGTGACTGAAAAATCATAATATATAAATGCCTATGTATACACACACACATATATATACACACAAACACGTACACAAATATTTAGATGATCTTGCTGTAATTAAAGATCAGGTTCTTCCTCCAATTCCCTTTTGCCTTCTCAAAAATATTTTATTAACACAGCATCTTATGAAGCAGTTTCATAACACAACACATTATGAACAAGACTGCAAAAGAATCAGCAACCATACCTAGGGGTTCCAACTTTTAGAAGCCAACATTCTCAAAAGAGTCTATTGGATATGTTTATTTTAAAATCCACAAGACGCCTTTAGGGAGTCCTTATCTGTAGAAGGTGTAAAGCTCAGCTTTGAAAACCAAAAGCCAACAGTCCCTTCTATAACATTTCAGTTGGCACCTCCAGAAATATAAAGTCACAGATAAAAGTAGTCAAATTATAGAATAACAGTTCCTATATGACTGATCTATCTTCCTCTGGAACAAATACAAAGCTCTGGCAGACCTCTTAAAATTCTGAAAGATAAAAAAGCAGATACTACTCTGTGTAAACAAAGATTATAAAACTGAACGGGAGTCGTGATTTTTGAGCATGCAATTTTGTATTGGCTAGGCATGGTGGGGCTGCTTGCAGGAGTAAACTGCAGGTGGGGTGGGGAGAAGAAATCTTTGAAAATAACGCCATCGTACCAACATATCTTCATTAAAAGTGGCTATGCAAAAGGAGTATTTCCTAAACAAAGCCTGATGCTCTATACAACAGGCTGAACAAAGTAAAATCTAGATGTTAGAACAAAACTTCTACTACTTCAAACCTCAAACGTAATTTCAGAGTTATTCCTTTTTTATCGTAAAATCTCAATGACAGCCACTAATACCGGACCTTCCAAACAAGAACACCGTAATTATTCAGTCCACTTCTATGCCACATTCTTCAGAACACTCTTGTGGCCTAATTTATTCTCAGCCATTAAAGTTAGGTAGGATTAAAAAAAGCAGAACTACACAACAGACTTTCTCTATTGTCGAAAGTTAGCATTCCTTTGATTCCTCTGTAAAGTTTTACTAATTAGTCCAGGTTTCAACTTGTCAGAAACTTGGGTGGGTGTAGCAAGTTTGCACTAATAAAATATTCATTTCTTATATCCAAAAATAACTTACATACTGTCTATGAGGAAATTCTGCCAAGTGATGCAGCTGAATCTATTTAGCAGTTACATTGAGCAGTTACTCAAATTGCAGTGTTCTGCTCTTATTTGCCTCCTTCTGCTACACCTAATTCCCAATAACTCGCACATAACACTTATGATTGTGCAGAGAGTGTGAGTTATTCGGCCACTCAGGCCTGATCTAATTTGTACTGATAGTAAGTCTTTACTCTTAAGAGGAAAAACCACAAATCAGCATTTTTCCAAAAGAATGCTTTCCTCCAGAAGTACAGAACTAGTTTCATCTCTAGCTGTATAGCTTATCTTCTGAATACACGGATGTACCACTATGTGCACCTTTATCCCAGCAAACCCTGCGAGAAGCACTGAAAGGACCCCAATGGCTGCCTCTTTCACCTATACCAGTGGGGTACAATAAACCAACAGTGAACTCTAAAGTCTTAGAAGAGTATCAGTTTACACAAGCAATTAATCCAGTAATTTCGAAAGAGACTTACGGTCAATTGCTTAGCTATAAAAAGGCATACCAAGCATGTCCCACTAATGCTGAATCAATGCCTTAAAGAAAAATTCCTTTTGTTATTAATGAAAAAACTTAAAACAGAATAAACTAATTAGCTGTTTGTCTGCTTAATCCTCTTGCTGAGGAAAAAAGCGTTTCACCTCTAAGTAGAAGTGCTTTTTATTCTATTAAAACCTATCACAATATTAAGAATGCTGCAACCGTCTGACAGTGGAGAGTAATAGCAGCCCAGGTCCCATTCTTTGAGTTTGCGCAACTGAAGCGAATCACTCCATTAATAAACAATTACCAGCTGTCGGTGAGCTGACAGAAAGAGCCACCACATGAATTTCTACTCTGGAGAAATATATCTATTGATATGACCAAGCAATTGTCAATGCTTAGAATAATTAACATTATGATAATTCAGCTAAGAGTTCTACATTTGCATCTGCTAAGTTTTGAGCTTTACCTGTCTTGTCTTTGCTGATGTTTCAATGAAAGGAATTCCGTAACTTCTTGCTAAATCCTGAGCTTGTTTTGTATCTACTGTTCTGGAAGGCAAATCACATTTATTTCCTACTAGCACCATTGGGACATCTTCAGAGTCTTTAACTCTCTTTATTTGTTCCCTAAAAAGAAAAAAAAATTTGTAAGCTATTAATATTAATAGCTTATATGGTAGATTTTAAAACAATGAAACAAAATTAAATTAACAGATTCCAACATCATTCTTTGTTAATTTACTGTACATACACTATTAGAAGCCATCAAAAAATAAATTGACCAATCCTGTCACCATCAAGTTTATCATCTTATTAAAAAAAAAAAAAGAGGTTGACATTTTGCAAACTACTATAGATGTTGATGTCATTACTTTTTTTTTTTAGTTAGTTTTTAACAGCTAATGCCAGAACAAGCCTAAGCAGCTCTGGTATAAATCTTACTACTTATCTCCCATACTCAGCACTCAAAATACTCAATTCATTTGCCAAGATAAAACACTGTCAAAAGC